CATGAGGTCTAGATTCAAAAATAATTTCACTAACGTCAAAAGTAGGTTACGTGTGAAAACTTGTTAATTTCATAAATAAATGAAAAACATTAAAAACTTCGAAGTCATTATTGGTTGTTGGTTTTACATTTAGCTGACATCTATCAATGGTGCACGCACATTTGGTTCGGTGATAAACACGTAACCTACTTTTATAAAGGTTGCATCCTAAATTGAAGGCAACCTTTATTAATAACCATAAAAAGGCAATCTTTGAAGGAAAAAGAAAAATTGTACGTGGGACAGGCATAAAAGTTGTTGGTGCAACTTTTTCCTTTCCACGTAATAATACTTAATCTGAGATTCTGAATCCTTCGAAGATTGCCTTCAATTTAGGATGCAATACATAAAAAGGCAACCTTTATAAATTGCAGATTAGCCGTCCATACCTCTAGTATTCATCTCAGACTCACAAGATGACTTCAACACCTCCACCTGCAACTTCACCAGCACCAGCACCAGCACCAGCACCGCCAGCGCCAGCGCCAGTATACATGTCACCATATGGACACTATCCACCGACACCAGGCATGGGACCCTATGCCTATGCGTATCAATATCCACCAACACCGCCATCACTAGGTCCAGGCATGCCACCCTATCAGTATCCCCCAGCCATTGCATATCCATACAACTATCCTCCTATCCCGCCACCAAATAAGGTTAATTCTTCATCTTTCATGAAAGGAGCGTTTCTTGGGAAGCTTATCTATGGAACTGTTGTGGCTGACGCTCTGAATGGAGACCTTCCCTTTCTCTCCTAATTATATAATGCTTCCAATAAAGCTTTTTGTGGTGTCATTAAAAACCGCTGTGCTTTGGTATTATATAAATAACGTGAGTTCTTGTTTATTTCTTAATTTGATCAATCTTCACCCTATCTATTTTACTTTATTATTTTTGAATCTAGACCTCATGGGGCTGTAACAAAATTTAAAAAAAAATTAACGGCAAATGTTGGATCGATTTCA